CCCTGGGGGTCATGAACTAAAAAAGGTTGAGTACCACTGGTCTAGATGGTCCTGCCATCAGTGCAGTGGGCTAGACTAGGTGACCTGTTGCAATCCCTTCCAGTGCTATGAGTCTATAAAATGAGTTTGTTTTGGTTGGAAGATGGATCTGAGCCTGAAACAGAGTTTCAGATTCTTGTCCCGAAGAGGGAGATTTAGATTTTTCTACAGATATGATTTAATATCCATGAGCCTTGCAAGATCAAACAGCTGCTCATATTCTTCAGGCGCATCAATAGTTTTCCCTTTCCCAGTTAAAAATCTTTGATCTTGTCTAGAAATACAAGACATTTTACAAAAATCTTCCTTCCTTTGAAATATCTAATTTCAGGGTAGCACAGCAAATAACTGTTTTCAGATGTCAGTTCATCAAGGAAATCCATGCTTTTCTATATGAGAGCTTTGAACTGGTAATCAGGAAATCTGGGTTCTAACTCTGGCTCTGACAGTAACTTCCTAGGCAACTATGGGGAAGTCACTTCAGCAGTTTGTGCCCCTGTTTCCCCTCCTCCCTGATGTCTGTCTTGTCTACAGGTCGAACCTCCCTAAACTGTGAGCCAGCAACATCCCTGGTCCAACAGGACAAGGACCAGAGAGAGGCAGCGGAGGACTAGTGGTTGGGAACCCAGCAAAGGGTCTGGAGCCCTGTAGCAGGGCCACCCCATGGCAGTAAAACCAGGAGCCTGACATCAGGGTGACCCCCAGTGGTGACGTTACCTGGTGGGACTGGGAAGCATCAGGGCTGCCCAGCAGTGGGTCCGGAAGCAGGGCTGAAGCCTGGTGGCAGAGCTGTCCGGAGGGGCCAGAGGCAGCAGTCCTGTTGCCTGGCAGTGGAGCTGGAGCCAAAAAGCTGGGTAGGACTGGGAGGCAGCAGGGTAGCCCAGTGGTGGGGCTCAGTTCCCCAGTGCAGGGCTGCTGCCCAGCGGTACACCCAAGACCCTGGCAGTCTCACTGCTGCCCAGTCGAGCAGCCCGGAGGGGCAGGGAGACAGCAGGGCTGTCCACAAAGGCTGAAGCCCAGCAAACAGGGCTGCCACCCAGCAATGTAGCTAAATCCCAGCTGAGGGGCTTTGCCTGTGGAGACCGGGAGGCAGCAGGGCTGCTCTGTGGGGCCGGGAGTCCTGCATTTGGAGTGGCCAGTGACAGTGGGGAAGCCAGATGGGAGGCTATGGCTGGGGAGGGCCACTGACGGGGGAAGGCAGAAATGATCTCCCCTCGTCCCGCAAAATCCTCCATTTGGGACCACTCAGGACCCGAGAGTGCCAAACCAGGGAGGTCCAACCTATATTTATATTATAAGCTCTGCAGAGCTGGGATTGCGTGATTTATAAAGCCGGATACAATGAGGCCTTCATCTCAGTCAGCATCCTTAGGGCCTTCTGAAATACAAATAACAGGAATTGGTAGTAACATAGGACATGAGAGTGAATGAAGTTCAGTGTCGTGATTGACAACAATTAAATCATCAACAACTAATTCATTTCCTTGCAGGATTCCCAGTGAAAGCAGTAGTGGACAAATTTTTCATCCATATTTCTGTGTCTGCTTGGATAATACAGACACTCTCCAGTTCTCTGCTCTGACCAGTGATGAAATATGGCTCTATTGTGAAGCCACCAAGTCCCCAAATCCAAACCACACTATTCCATGTTCCTCATAGGATATTTGGAAGCTCAAGGCCCCTTTTTGTCCTTGAGTTTAAACTAGACTTGCATGTTCTTGATGTGCTTCAAGGTCTGCCATTATCCCATGGGGAAAAAAGCATTTGTGCTATCGATGTTCAGTCAGTAAATTTGCTCGATAGCAGCAAAGGGAAAAGTACTTATGTCTTGATGCTGCTTGGAGTCACAGCACAGAATTATCTGATAAATCAAGTGGCCTTTGGTGACATTTACTTCACAACCAAATTCACATGTTTCCAAGCCGATTCAAGTGCATTTTCTACACTTGAAAGATCCATGTATGATTTTCTGATATTGCCTTAGTTGGAAGGTCTTGATCTTTTTGCTCACGTTGAACAAATTGTATAAGCTCTGTGGCAATTTCAGCTATCCCATTTCAGCAGGCTCTCCTGGCTAAAAGCTTGCAATCAATATGTTTCCCTCATCGCTTGGAAACTGTGGGTGCTCTGGGATTCCCCTGCTGCCTGGTGCCTAGGATCTCCTTGCGGGCTGCCTCCATCAGCAGCTGAGAGCCGCACAGCTGCCAGGTGACAGCTCCAGTCTCAGGGCAGGAAATGTCATGGAAATCTCTGGAAGTCACAGATCACCTAATTTCTCTGACATAATCAGAGATATACTTATTCTATAGCCGCCGTGATTTCCTTTAAGGACCTACCTTGTGGATTTCTCCTCATGTTTCCTTAGCCTGGCATTTGGAGTATCCTAGTGGATAGGATATTTGATGGGGTATTACAGGGTGGTGGGTTTAAGTCCCATCCTCTCTGTGCCCACCCATTGGTCTTGGGAAAAGGACTACTTTTCATTTCCCCCATTTTGGACCGGTCACCCAAGCTATTCACCCTAAGAATTCTCTCTCCCACAAAGATTTCCATCCCTTAAGTCTGGGCTCTGATCTAACCCCATACACTCTCTCCACTTTCCTTCTCTGCCCTTCACCTGAAAATAATGGCCTCCATGTCTCCCTCTGTCCCATTGCCTTGGCCTCTGTCAAGGTGTCAGACATAATTATTGCCTGCACCCCTAAATCTTGGGCAGCTGCAAACAAAGGCTTGCAATCCCATTGTAGAGCTCATAGCTACAAACATTGAACCCCAGTCTCTCCCCATTCACACTTCCTAGGCGGCTGCAACTCAGCAGAAATTAATTGTTGGATGTTCTGAACTGCAAACCTCCACACAGATGGCTTCATCAACCCAAAACTGCTCTGGTAAGGAATTAGTTTGACCAGCGATATTACACCTGCTGCTAAACCCACCAATTCTTATAGCCTTGCTGTAAATAGACTGGAACATTTCAACATCTCATTGACCCAGTGAGGGAGTCTATTCCAGCTAGTCCAAGCATTATTTGCTCGCAATCTATAATCCTGCAAGTGGCACAGCGCCTGCTCAGCCACTGAAGCCTTGTCCAAAATGGAGTGAACAAAGACTTCCTATTGTGTGTCTTGTGTGGCAAGATCTTCACCCAGGGTAGGGTTGTAAAATATTGATTGATTGGCTGATCGATTAGTGGATGCAATTTGTATTCACAATTCAATTATTTGATAAGGGCACCTCTGCCTTTGAAATGTAGCAACAGAGCTGTTGGTATGCTTCCAAAGAAAAAACGCTTCAGGGAGCATAGGGCCAGCAGGGGAAGTTCCCAGCTGACCCCAGGGCTTCACGTGGCGCTGCCACGTTGGACTTCCCAGCTGACCCTAGGCTTCATGTGGCACTGCCACGTTGAAACACGGCATGCAACCCAGGATCAGTTGGGACTCCCATTTGGCGCTGCAGGCAACTTTTGAAGCAGGAGACTCTGGGCTCCATGCTGCACTGCCACTTTGAAACATGGTGTGCAGCCCGGGCCAACTAGCTGGTCTTGTGCTGCATGCATCATTTCCATGTGACAGAGCCACGTAGAGACCAGTATGTGGCCATGAAATCAGCGTGGCACTGCCACATTGAAACTCTCCCTGTTCTTCCCCCACACTTTCCAATAGAGGCAGCAAGGCCGGAAGTGACTAGTTGACTAGTGTGTCAAATATAATTAACTAGCTGGTTCACATCTCTGGCTCAAGGACCCATTCTTCATCAACAAATCAACCAGAGACCCTTTCTGGTACAACTGGGCCTTTTATTGTCTGTTCCAATTTCCCACCACCTTCTATTTACAGAGCTTTGTTCACAGCAAAATCAACTAGCCTCTCTTTCTGGCTGGGGAGCACACTCAGCAACTCTCTGTCTCCTCTTTAACTTCCTGACAGCTGACTCATCCAGCCCTCTGGCTAATGAAGCCCACAGCTGTTTCAAATTAGCCCCTCATATATGGGCTTGCTCAGCTGGCTTCCATTGCCCTTTTCCACCAGGCTGTGGTGGCAGAGCTCTGGCTTAGCCAGCAGTCTGCCCCACTAGATTTAAGTAAGTGTTTATGGTGCAAAATAAAAGCCAGCAGAGAGATTCTCCTTTGTGGCAGTCACTAGAGAAACAAGTTTAGAAACTCAAGTGATTCAGCCAGTGCAAGATTCTCTGGGCTAGGGAGTTCCTGGCTGGCATGGAGCTGCCATGATCCAATCTATAGCAACTGCCCCAGTGGATGGCGTGTGGTCAGCAGAAAAGATCAGCCCTGGCACACCACGATTCTGAGTTGTGTTGAACCAATTTTAGGATTAATAAACCACAAAGAGCCCCATTGTGCATCCAGTACAGTTCACTCACAGTTGACAATCTGTGAAACATGACAGTGAAGGACAATGAACTAAACACTGCTCAGTATTTCCACTTCATGATTACATATTTGAATTTGTAATCTTACTAATGTTAGAGAGTGTTACACTGGATTCCACTTTGCCTCATGGCATAGCTGTAAAGTGCAGTACCTAATTTTTTTCTCCTGTTCTCAGGAGCTGGGCTGTCCTCAGGTTCAATATTGGGCTTCACATAAGAATGGACCTTCTTGGTGGTTGGTGGTTAGCCGGCTTTCAGTGCATTTCCTAGGGAGGGTGGTTTTTTGTGAAATAGTACCATATTATGTCAAGGAAACCTAGAGAATATACAAAGGCACCATCTTTATAATTTGCATAAGGATAAATAAATAGATATCCTCAATCCTGTTTTCTTCCACACTCTCCCCAGGGAAAGCCCCACTTACACTCGACCTCATTTCATTCTATACAACATCCCCAACAAGCTCGACCTCCCCCTTTCTGACTCCTCCTCCATCACGGTGACAACAATCAGAATGTTTGAAAAGATGACATCACAGACCACATTCTGTTTCTGTGGTACCTGCTTGGAAAAAAAACTGTTCTCCTTTCCCACCTCGGGATCATTTCTCGCTGTATCCAAAGCAATCAGTTGGATTCGATTGGATTGAGACAATGTCGGCGGTGGTTCTCCATTTGAACCTCTGGTCTCCCCTAACACCGGGCAGCAGCAAAGGTACAAACCTTCATCTCCCTCTGCACTTTCACCATGGCTGGTCTGTGCCAGCAAGAGAATCATGGGCTGAGACTGCAGGGCTGTTTTATTGCCATGTAGCTGTCTGGGCTTGATCGGGCACCTAGCACTCTGTATGGTGATAGGGCCCCAGAGCCTTGTCCTGTAGCCCAAACAGGAATATCTGTACTTCAATAACACTGTACCACAGTCTCCTCATCCGAAAAGCCTGAGTCAGTTACCTGAGCTGGCCATGAGTGTCCCATGGGAGTCTAATTGTAGGATAGACATAAATAAGCTCATAGGAACGGCCATTTGGGGTCAGACCAACAGTCTGTGTACTGACAGTGACCAATACCAGATGATTACCTCACTCTCCTCTCACATATCTTCTCCTCTCACACATTTCCAGACAAACTGAGGCTAGGGACACCATTCCTACCTGTCCTGACTAATAGCCATCAATGGACCTAACCTCCATGAATCTATCTAGCTCTTTTTTGAACCCTGTTAAAGTCCTAACCTTCACCACATACTCGAGCAACTAGTTCCACAGGTTGACTGTGTGCTGTGTGAAGAAAAACTTCCTTTTGTTTCTTTCAAACCTGCTGCCTATTAATTTCATTTAGTTACCCCTAGTTCTTATATTGAGGGAATAAGTAAATAACTTTTCTTTATTTGCTTTTACTACACCAGTCATGGTTTTATAGACCTTTATCTTTTCCCCCTTAATGCTTTTACTACACCAGTCATGATTTTATAGACCTCTATCTTTTCCCCCTTAGTCTCTGCTTTCCGAAGATGAAATTATGAGATACATGATAAACAAAATTTGTTGGAGAATAGTGAACAGAGATTTTGTAAAGGTAAATCATGCCTCACCAATCTACCAGACTTACCTGAGGTATAAATAAAAACATAAGAATGGCCATACTGGGTGAGACCAAAGGTCCACCTAGCCCAGCATCTTAGTTTGGGAAGCTCTTCATAGTTTGCTTTGGTCTCAACTATCTTGAACAGTTTAGTATCATCTGAAATTTTGCCACTTCACAGTTTATCCCTTTCTTGAATAGAATTAGTCCCAGAACAGACCTTTGGGAAACAACACTGGTTATCTCTCTCCATTCTGAAAATTTACCATTTATTCCTACCCTTTGTTTCCTATCTTTTAACCAGTTATCAGTCCATGAAAGTATCATTCCTCTGATCCCATGACAACTTGTTACTTAAGAGCCTTTGGTGAGGACTTTGACAAATGTTTTCTGGAAATCTAAGAATACTATATCCACTGGTGCCTCCTTGCCAACATGTTTGTTTACCCCCTCAAAGAACTCTAGCAGATTAACAAGGCATGATTTCCCTTTACAGAAACCATGTTGACTTCCCCCCAACAAATTATGTTAATCTATGTGTATGATAATTTTATTTTTTATGACAGTTTCAAGTAATTTGCGTGGAACAGACATTAGACTTACTGGTCTGTTACTGCCAGGATCACCTTTGCAGCCCTTTTTAAATTTTGGTGTCATGTTAGCTATCTTCCAGTCATTAGGTATGGAAGCCTATTTGAAGGGTAGCTTACAAACCACAGTTAATAGTTCTGGAATTTCCCATTTGAGTTCTTGAGGGAGGAACAGTGGTGGCGGAATACACAGGGGAATCTGGCTCTATTATCTGGGGTAATTTTTACTTGCCACACGACACAAGTACTGACACAGAAGTGAAGCTGGTTAATTGCATTATAGCCTGGTGTGACTCAAGAACCGTTAAATGGCAAGATGGTTACGGGAATACCCTGATTCTGACATAAACCTCCTTTATGTTTGTCTCCCCTGCAGGCACAGAGATCGTTTCTGTTCCCAGTCCCTCCTCCTGGACAGCCATACCCGGTGGAGTCCCTGCTCCCTGCCACCTATGCAGAGGCAATGGGGAGGCTCTCAGGATGTGGCATGGGGAGACGTACTGTCACCTGGGCCAGTACAGGTGCTTTGCAGACCTGCCATTGCATAATTGCCATGGAGGTGCACTGAAAGCCTGCCCACCACCAGGCAGCAAGAGGGCTCATTTTTATGTGGAGCCCGATATTGAACCTGAGGACAGCCCAGCTCCCAAGAAGAGGAAGCTCATGGAGTTAGGGGCATGGCTCCCTGGTGGCCTTCCCAGACCACAGAGAACTCCCATGAGGCGAAGGTGGAGGTGAAAAACACCAATGTCTCTTCCTTGGCTTAGAACAACAGGCTCCGTGTGGCCATTCCTTACCTCGGTCCCTTCACACCAGCTGCTTTTCCTTGTCCCTCCAGCCTAGAGCCACCTTCCCCACTCCTACCTGCTAGCACTTTCCCACTACTACCTGTATGTGTCTCCTTCCGTGACCTCTGTCCGAACACCAGCCCTCAGCATCCCTTACACTATCCATAACCCGTCACAGAGCCTCCTCTTCTTGCGGAGCTTTCACACAGGCCCTCTCAGGTTCCACTGTACCTCCATGTGCTGGAACAACAGGCCCTCTTTGAGTCTCCCTGCCACACCCACATCTGCTTCACTGCTGCCAGCCACACACAGCACGGACCGGCTTTTCATCCCTGGACACCATAACTCTCAGGTACTGGATGAGAGGTGTATGCTGCTGCTATAACAAGACACTGAGGCCTGGCTTCATCCCTCGCTGTAAAATCTTTGCCAGGTTGCTTCATGGCCCTGCAAGGAGGAACTCTCTGCAGAGAGCCTGAGAATTCAGCTTCTATTTTCCATATTCATATAAAAGTCAGGGTGCTCAACAGACAGATGCTCCTCTCCTGCCCTTTGCAAGTCATAGCTTGGCACACTGCAACAGAGCCCTGTGGGAAAGCAGGCTGCTATGGAGACCTAGAAGCCAGGTTCAACCTCCAGGCTCTCCGATAACTCTGCCAGAGGGAGAGTTTGCCCACTGTTGGCTCCTGCCTTGTGGCCTGACTCTTCAGGTAGAATTGAATGAATTGCCAAGCTCTTATATGGCCCATATGGTCACGTGCTCTAGCTAATATTTGGGAGAGCCTGGGCTTGGCTGTAATCTTTCCTTTGTTCTTGTTGCAGGGCTTCCTATGGAATGACTGTAGGGAGAACTTCGGTGCTGCTTCTTCAGTGTGGATAACAACGTGCCTAGATATAATCAAGGCTTCATGACCGTCTTAAAACTGTAAACTGTAATCGCAGACAAAAGGAATCACAGACAGGCTGAGCTGCTTCCTTTGCTCTTCAGACTGAAGAGCAACTTTATATGAGGACGTTCATAGACTCATCATTTTCTGTATTCAAATGAAACTTCACTCCATACTAGTTCAATAATGCAAAGATTAAAGCATGTGGTTTTGTAGCTTTTTATTCATTTCTTAAAGAATTTATTGTGATAAAAATAATATAATAAAATCATTTTTCTGTGAATAAAGCGAGATACCATCATTCCCTCACAGGCTCTCTCCAAAAATAGGAGGGAAAATAGGACGGAAAAAAGGCCAAAAGCATTATGCTCCTTTCTATGTCTTCATGGAGTTCAATTAAAAGAGATTATCGTTCTGGTTATTCCTCTTTCACATAAAGCTGAGGAAAACAAATATTGCTAATTGCTGTTTAAATGGGTTTATTAACCATTTTATAAAAATTATGTACTGTACTAGACACACCTATGCCATGAGGCAAACTGATATCCAGTGTAATACACCCTAATATTAGAAAGAATACAAATATGTAATCAGGAAGTGGAAATACTGAGCAGGGTTTAGTTCATTGTCCTTCACTTTCATGTTTCACAGATTGTCAACTGTGAGTGAACCATACTGGATGCACAATGGAGCTCTTTGTAGGTCATTATTCCTACAATTGGTTCAACACAACTCAGAAGGGTAGAGTGCCAAGGCTGATCTTTTCTTCCGACCACATCCCATCCACTGGGAAAGTTGCCATTGATTGGATCATGGCAGCTCCATGCCAGCCAGGGAGTCCCTTGCACAGGCAGAATCACTCAAGTGTCCAAACCTGTTTCTCTGGTGACTGGCACAAAAAAAAATCTCTCTCCTGGCTTTTATTTTGCACCATAAACACATGCTTATATCTAGTGGGACAGACTGCTAGCTAAGCCAGAGCTCTGTCACCACAGCCTGGCAGAAAAGAGCAATGGAAGCCAGCTGAGGAAACCCATGTCTGAGGAGCTAATTTAAAACAGGATTTCATTGGCCAGAGGGCTAGATGAGGCAGCTAGAGAGTGGCTGAGTGTGGGCCTTAGGCAGAAGGAGAGGCTAGATAAGTTTGCTGCTGTGAACAAAGCTCTGTAAATAGAAGGTGGTGAGAGATTGGCATGGACAATAACAGTCACGGGTGACTGCAGCAGAAAGTGTCTCTGGTTGATTTGTGGATGAAGGGATCCCTGGGCGAAGGGCCTGGGTGAGGACCTTGCCACACTCAACACACAATAGAAAGTCTCTGTTCACTCCATTTTGGACAATCCATTGGTGGCTGAGCTGCAGCTGTGTCACTTGCAGGATGTATTGCTGCCAGTAATTACAGATTGAGAGCAAAGAATGTTTGGACTAGCAGGAATAGACTACCTTACTGGGTCAGGGACATTTTGGTTTTTCACTTCCCTAGGTGGGTATTTCAGTTTTAGGAATGCTCTGTAAAGATCCTGTAGGTGATTGTCTCTGTGGGGTCAGATCAATTCTGGTTGTATCGCAGGGCTTGGCTGTATACAATTGACTGAAAACTGTGTCTTGGATGGAAGCTAGAAGCAGGATGGTAAGTGTAGCAGTCAGCTGATTTCCGATATAGGATGGTCCATTATTTAACTGTACTGTGTTGTCCAGGAAGTAGATTTCCCTTGTGAACTGGTCCTGGCTGAGGTTGATAGTAAGGTGGAAGTTGTTGAAATCCTTGTGGAATTCTTCCAGTGTCTCTTTTCCACGGGTCCATATGGTGAAGATGTCATTGATGTAGCATAAGTAAAGTAAAGGTGTTAGGCAGCGAGAGCTGAGGAAACATTGTTCAAGGTCAGCCATAAAGATGTTGGCATATTGTGGTGCCATACAAGTGTCCATGGCTGTGCCTCTGATTTGGAAATAGAAATTGTTTCTGAATTGGAAGTAGTTGTGGGTGAGGACAAAATCGTAAAGCTCTGTAATCAGGTGTGCAGTGTTGTTATCAGGGATTGTGTTCCTGATGGCCTTTAATCCATCTTTGTGTGGAATGTTGGTGTAGAGGGCTTCTACATCCATGGTGGCCAGTATGGTATTTTCAGGAAGATTATTGATTTAAGGATTTATTATTATTATTATTATTATTATTATTATTATTATTATTATTATTATTATTATTATTATTATTATTTACACAGATGTTTCTTGTCCTATAAAAGAAATGTAAGTGAATTTGTTGCTTAGGAAAGTGATGATGGAAAGGATGTTTCTTAGCATAAATCAGGCGTGAGCCATGAAGTATTTCTATAAAATACTGAAAATATTTTGGTACCAGTTCCAAACCTGCATCCCAGCTCCATCCAGACCTGTTGATAGGAGGAAAGGGGGTAAAGGAAGCCCGCTACTGAGAATGTAGCAGTGTTGGCAGTTGGAGCCTTGGGCCCTTTACATTGCTGCCAGAGGCCCAGATGGTATGCTCTGTGCAGTGCTGAAGGGCTCGCAGGGAGAGGCTAACCCCTGTCATCACCCCTTCTGCCTGAGGCCCCTCCCCTTCCAGCAGCACAGAACCCCAGGTTGTTTTGAATTGCTGAGATAAGGATAGTTGTCCTCTTTGTCCCTCTCCCTCCATCAGTGGGCCTGATGGCAATGATTTTGGGATACAGCTGTCTATCTACGAGGACTTGGAATGCAATTACAAAACTGTTGACAGTTGGTAGGAAAATACATTATGCCATTTTTTATTGTTTTCTTTTTAAATTCCAAAACTGAAAGTGCTCACCAGCGTTAGATCCGGTTGAAAAATGAGGAATTATTTCTTTGCCAGTTATTTTTTAAATTCCAGTGACCACGGGTATTCATTACACACTGCTCCTCCTCCCCCAACAAGCTTTAGATGACCGTTGATGGCAAGTTTGATGATCACCTCAGCTATACAACAAATCTCTGCTCTTATCCGCCGCTTATCTCCTACACTTGAAGGGGAGAGGAGATGGTTACTGTTCTATTCGGGGCAGAACAAATTAGTAGGATTGAATCTGCAAATGAATCAGGATCTCACTTCTGTTCAGTTAGATGTAAGTTTAATCACAGTGATGTGAAGAAAAAAAGTCGACAATAAAAGCTAATGAGCTTAGAATCACAAGTCAAAACCTGTCATTGAACCCTGCTTAAAAAGGCACAAGTTATCTTTAATAGTCCAGTTGACTTATTCCAGCTTGCGGGTATTTGAATTTTACAGCCCTCTACCAGAACTGAGAAAGAGTGCTGCTGGAGTTGTGGCTGTGAATTATTGGGCTTGAATAAAATAGTGAATACATATTTCAGACAAGCATGTGCATCACAAATGAGTATCTAAATGAGTATCCTCATATAGAAGTTAAAATGTTGTTTTGTTGTGTGATGGAGTGTACATGCCTCACTCTGAGCCAGAAGGGGTTAATACACTGTGGGCAGAGGAAGTCCAGCCCTCCCCCAACCGTACTGGGCATGCTCCAAGGTAGCAACTCAGCTCAGTCACAGGCCTGGATGCTGCAGAGGGAGGAACTGCTGCAGGAGCTCCAGAGATAAACCAAAGATCTTATCAAAGGGAGCTGGGGTATGTCTACACTACCCTCCTAGTTCGAACTAGGAGGGTAATGTAGGCATACCGCACTTGCTAATGAAGCCCGGGATTTGAATTTCCCGGGCTTCATTAGCATAAGCGGGGAGCCGCCATTTTTAAATCCCCGCTGCTTCGAACCCCGTGTAGCGCGGCTACACGGGGCTCGAACTAGGTAGTTCGGACTAGGGTGCCTATTCCGAACTACCGTTACTCCTCGTGAAACGGTATCATCTCCTCAGTACTGGCCATTGGGCCATACTGCCTTGCAGGCGAGGGCTGCTTTGTGGATTCTGGCCATTGGGCTGTGCTGCCCAGGGATGACAGGCAGACAGAAAGACAGACTTTGCTCCCTGACAGACTGGCAGCAGTAGTAATGGTGTCCAGATACCCCTGTTTCTGCTCTTCTAGTTCGAACTAGTGCATCTAGACCTAAAAACTAGTTCGAACTAGCATGTCCACATTGAGTGGACCCTGAACCGAGGTTAAGGATGGCCGGAAGCAGTGCCGGCAGGCATCAGATTAGGATTTAGAGCGTGGAGATGCTGTCTCAAGCTAGCCGAGGGCTGTGGTTAAAGTGACCCGACTCCCACCCCAGACAGACAGTTCTCAGGGGTTCCCCACTCGCTTTTCTAACTCGATGAGGGACAGCAAAGCAGTCCTGGCTTGGAGTGGCCTGAATGCCCACACTCGGCACATCACAGCACTCGGCCATCAGCCCAGCTGCACTTGCTGCAGGCTGCCATCCTGGGGGGAGGTCTATCGGGGGGCTGCAGGAGAGTTTCCACCCCGAGGAGCCTGCAGAGCCACCCCAGTCCTCCTCATCGGGGGCTCATACCCCATTCCTCCCTCACCTCCTTCCACTTACCCCTCCCTAGCCCCCCTTCCTGATGTACAAAATAAAGGACACGTGTGTTTAAAAATAGAAACTCTGTTTATTGAACAAAACTTGGGGAGACTAGGAAAAGGAGGTGTGAGAGGGGAAGAGAGAGGGTGGGAGAGGGAAGGAGGAAACCTGGGAGGAGGAAGCTGGAAGGGGGAAGCCAGGGGAAGAAGGAGGAGGGG